ATCTTTTGTGATACCAATCCCATCAAGCCAAATTCTCAGATACTTCTGCTTCTTCTGTTTTGCGTTGTGTGGAGCAGTCTCCACAGGGGTTCACAATGACACTAACATGGTCCTAGCTCTTCAGTTAGATACGTACATGTGTTGGGATCATGTTAGCTCCCCATCGCCCCCCCACTTCCCAATGCTGTCAATAACCAGGCATCCTCTGATCTGTGAACACATTCAAGTCTTTCTCCTCCTCAGACATTTCCAACTACTGAGCTCCCAGTTTATTTATTTATTTTTTTTTTTGTAATTGATGGAATTAAATATTAGCACACAATATGGTATCTTTCATCACATTTCTGAAGATTATCCAGTTCTTTCTGTGGTGTTCAGTCTGTATTCATTTATACTGGTTTGATTAAATTTGTCAAATTTTAGCCCATTTTAATTTGCCTCACTTCTGTCTAAATTAACAGTTAAGCTTCTAATTATGTACCGCTCTAACCACCACAAGACAAGGAATCAACAGTGTCTATTTGTAAATTTATGTCTATGTTTGTGTGCTTAACCTTCTACCTCCTTATTTTATGAGTACTTAGAATGAGCTGCCATCTAAACATGACAAAAGATTATCTGATGAACCATTCAGCTATAATGCTTATCTAAATTGAATGCTGTGTAAAATAAATTGCAGTTTGCTATAGAAAGTGAAATGTATTTTACCTTGCAGTAAAAATTGCATTTACTCCCAAAATCAATCATGTTTGAAAAGGTTGATGAATATACTAAGTTCTCAGCCACTATAAGCAGCAGTTTTTTTATTAGAAGATAGAGGCAACTTTTTGGTAGTTCATTTTCAGTGGAGTGATTCCTCACTTGAGCAAAGGCTCCTGTACCAATGATGTATATATACATTCTTTGCTGTGCTTTTTGTAACATCCTTTTGTATCTTTTTTGTTCTCATCAAGTCTGTTCTCATCATTATCTCAAGATACTTGATAATTAATCAAGTTACTAATTATCAAATGATAATTAATCAAGTTATCCTACTAATTATCAAATACTTGATAATGGCTCGAGGATTACCTGCAGTCTGTGATGGGTAATGTACAATTCAGCAGGCAGAGCTGAATTCTTGAAGTTCTTGTGCAAAACACTTCTGTACAAGCAGCATAGGCAGTACTTTTTAAAAGGGCTCATAATTTGGGGCATATTGCCAGAAATAGGATCTTCAAGAAGCTTTTCTTAGGTATTTCAGATTGGTACTACCCTAAAGCTCTCTTCTCTTGAGAAATTCCCTGCCAAAGTGCCTTTGAAAATGTTCTTTTTTTTCCAAGTCATTTGTTCCTGTGCTCTCAGTAGGATCCCATTTTTTTTTCCATTTTGCTTTTGTAAAGGCAAGTAAATAATGTAAGAAATCTTAATAATCTTAAGGCTTTCTTTTATTCAAATAGGAGAGGTTAAACTAAATGAGTACTAGATTTGCTTATGCTTTCCCTGTTTCTGCAGCCTTCTTAGAGCCTGCTATCAGGACACATTTGCTACTTGCAATACTTGCATTTTTAAAACAAAATGCTACGTGACACAGCAAACTAAATGACAACACAGCAAAGGGAAAAGTCAGTATTCAAAGGAGTCACCCCAAAAACACCACTAGAAGCACAGTGCATACAGGGATTATGACCCTGGGTGCCTCCCCTAGCCAGTCAACAGCTGAGATGAGAAGCTACCCCTGGTTAGACAGCCCATGTGGGATGTATGTAGGATCAAACCAGTAAAAGAGTATGGAAGACTGGACTGTTTGCGCTCTGGATTGCACAGTTAGCTGCCCCACCTGCTATATTTCTTGACTGATCATACCTGCACCTCTGATCTACAGCATGCAGGAGGATGCAAAGTGCCTCCAGAGGCTGCGGCTTTGTTATTCTTCCATGGTTATAATATTGGATAAAATAACAAAATCACTAGAGTCTACCTACTCTAGGGCTTGAACACTTGATTTCATTGTCCTTCATTATTTTCAAAGTAAAAATAATAAATTTCAATGACAAAACTAGCCTTGCACTTTTAGTAACAGATGGAAATCTGACTAAGAGAGCTGGATTTTTAATTATGTCTGAAAATGTGCAAGAGCAGGTTAAAATAGCTTTTCCATTCAGATTTTATTGGCACCTGTCACAGAAAGCACACACTTTCTGTTCTCTTGAATTAATGTATATTACTTTGAAAAGTATCATAAAATTGTGCTGTTTGATGGGACTGGGAGTTATAACACTTATGTCTCTTCTACAGAGTATCTGATGTCTCGTGTATGACCAGGCAGCATCTTATGTCCAAACAGGCTGTGTGCAAGCAGTTATGGTGGCTGAAGGAATGTCAGAGGGGTAGATACGTCTTGAAATGCTGTAACTGATGAGAAATGAAGCTTACTTTGGGGACTCTCACAGGCCAGGCCCTTAGATGCCCCCTTTTTGTCATGTTCATAGTTTCTCTCGGCAGTCTCCTCCTGAGATTGACGTTTGCTGCTTCTCCCGTGGGAGAGGTTTTTGGCAAAACTCATCTTAGTCTCCTTCTTTCTACTTAGCGCGCTCTAGAATACAATGAAAATATGGGAGAACATAAGAACCTAGTCAAGTCCCATCTCCCACACAGTAAGAGGGGGAAGAAAACATGGTAAACTAATGTATATATAACTGCTTGGAAGGGATTAGGGCACAAGTGATGTGGCACCATTTAAAGTGAAAATTCCCTATAGGAAGAAGAGCATTCCAATTAGAGTCTCAGGAAAAATATAAAAAAACATGAAAATGATGCATAGTACAATAATGGTTGAAACAAAATGACTGTTTCTTTGAAAATGGTAAGAGTTTCACCTAAGGCAACAGTCATCTGCATATGCTTAATTGACAATTTTAATTCATGTGCTGACCCACCTGAATAATGTGTGTGAGCTTTAGAGAGGTTGAGGGCATGTTAAGTTTGCCAATCAAAGTGCTGCTAAAAATATTATACATATGTTTTTAAGATATTAAACCTATGAACTCTATTAGCTATTTAAATATGGACAGACAATGTATTTGTATTAGATGAAACAGTATGAGGCTTAAACTAAGATGTCCATTGGGAAAGTGATAAGATGCCAGCAAGGAAGAGAAGAGTCTTCTAGTGCTTACATGGAGTTTATCCAGTGTGGCAGTTGAGAAGCGTGGTGTAGATTCATGGTTTTAATTAATTTTGTACTAAAATTTATATATAACAATAATAGCAGGAGAAACCTTACTGATTTTTCTGAGAACATAAAGCCTCATAATCTTATCTCTCTCTTATTTAGAAAGAAAGATTGTTGTAATATAGATAACTAAATAAATTTTATTCAGTTCTTGTTTTGCAGGGAACAAACTCACTGTAAAGGATAATAATATAGAAAACCCATCTGAAACAGATTCTGCCCATGTAATAATGCAAAGCTTGCAGCAAGAGACTAGAGCAGAACATTTTAAATATTAGAAGATTATTATAATGCAGAGAGTAATACAGCTGGTTAGAGCATATTATCATGCAGACACTTTAACTTGCAAATAAACATTGAAATTGGTATAATTCACCCGCGTGCTAAACCTGTGTGAGTTCATTTCACTGTGGCAGGAGGATCCCCCGTGAGCACAGGGAAGAGAATACCCAGCTGGTGGGGGCACCAAAGTCTTGGCCCAGTGCCTGTGCTCTGTGGGCCCTAAGAATGAGTATATCACTGGGTCATTAAAAATAAATTTCTCATAAATACAATCTGAAATTTTCAATTTCACTTAGGCCTTTCTCTACCTCTTAGGTTCTCTGAAGACCTGTGTCATTTGCAATCATGATTATAGCGACATAGCGACATTTATTATGCAGGGTGTAGAACAATAAAATAATGATTGCTGGCCAAAACAGCAGCTTTAATTCCCTTGGGAAGTATGTGGACAGCAGCACTTACGGAAAAAGCATTAGTGATGCACAGGGTCAAGCAGGGAATTAAGTCCCTCTACAAGCAAGCAAGGCACCCTGCAAATGCAAACAGTGTGTGTATGTGTGTGCTCTTAATGTGCATTGACTGGTTAAAATCTGAGCCCTGAATGACAGGGAAGAGCTGAAGAGAAGGGCAGGAAGGGCCAGGTGTGAGCAATGGGGAAGGGCAGGAAGGACCAGGTGTGAGCAATGCTGCTGTGCACGGCCAGGGTGATGGGCAGCTCTCCTCGGCCACCATGAGGGCCGGGTCCCCCAAAAGGTTCCTCAGATCTTTGCTCTGGGAATCTCTGCACCACGGGGCTTGGTAAGGGTTGGTGAACAGTTTGGTAGCACAGTAGCCTAGAGAAAAGTAATTCCTGGGGTGTCGAAGGACAGTGCTGCAGGGGAGATGTGGTGCTGCAGATGCACCAAGGCCAGGTGGCAGAGACATCCTGCAAGGACAGAGGAGCTGGTGTCGGCTGCATGGTGGGGCTGGGAGGTGAGCAGGGCAGTTGTCCAGCCCTTTATTCCTTTTTTTTTCTCCAAGCACAGCAGTGTGGGTGGTGGTGTATGAAAACAAGACAAGATCATTGAGCCATGGTGGTGTGCAGGGAAAAGCACCAACGTTTTCCTTTTAGCTGGGGCTCTTCCACTGTCATGAGTCTTAAATCCTCCTTACCAGTTACTTGAGCAATGCAGAGTAGTAGATGGCTTTGAGAGGCCCCTTAAAAACAGAGGGCAGATTTGACAAGGCTCTGTTTACACTGGTGTTTGGCATGTGTGTGTTGTACGGCTTGTTTGAGAACAGGGAGCCAAAGGAGCTGTCAAAAACCATGCAAACCCTGCGTGCGGAGTGTGGCCACGCAGGGGGGACATCGCCGAAGCCAGGGTGCCACCAAAACGCTTGTGCTGCGGAGCAGGGAGGAGGCTGCTCCTCCCCATAGGTGCCTGTGCCACGTTCACCCACACCAGGCTTTGGAGGGGGCACCGCTCTGCCCGTCACTGCTCCCGGCGTGACCCTGGGGACAGCGTGCAGAGGGGACCGCGCTAGATGTATTCCGGTTTGGAGAGGACCTGCATCTCCTGCCCTGCTTCGCTTCTGTCTCGGAAAGTCCCCTCTAGCCTTCTTGACCTTCTTTCCCTAAGGAAAATAAGGAAAGTCAGAATTAAGACATGCAAAAAAAAAGGATAAGTAGTTGCTATAAGAGTCAAATAACAACTGTATTTATGTGCCTCCCCCCGCCCCAATCCCTTCTTAGAGGATAACAGCAGTGGTAGTAGAGGAGCAGTACTCGAAAGGAGGGCAGAGCCGGTTGCTGAAGATGCAGTATATGAGGGGATTGATGGCACTGTTTAAGGCCGGCAGGTTCTGGATGATCACAGAGGCATAGAAGCGTTCCTTGGTCTCGGGAAGTATGTTGAAGTTGTCCAAAATATCAAAGAGAAAGTAGGGGCTCCAACAGAGAACAAAGGCTGCAGTAGAGAGAATGAGAGAGCCATGGGAAAAGCTCGATGTTAGCTGCTGTGGCAATTTAGGGAGGTAATCACAACATGCACACACGACTGTCATAACACATATATATTTGTTCACACAAGAAATATCTCTTTCCTAGTCAGGGTCTTGTTTAAGGGAATAGTTATTAGAATATGTTTTTTTATTTGTCTTTATTTTTATTTTAATGCCCATAAAACATATTATGTGTTCTCCTTTAAGTGTTTAAAGTGCTCCCTGTAGGCATATCAAGGCACTTTTGAGCACTGCACAACTCATAAACTCATAAAGGGTAAATAGGTAGCCAGTTAAAGCATCATCAGTTATAGCGAAGAGCTCTTTTAATGGTCCCCCGAGTGAAGAGCCAGCCTAAATGTGCGCGGCACCAAAGTGCCGCTCTGTGGCAGTGCTGCCTGGAGCAGCGACCTGTTAACAAAATGCTCTGAAGCACCGAGCAGCAAGAAACCACCCTCTGGAGCAAGAAACCACACTCCTTCACACCAAACTGCAGCCAGCTGACAAGCAACTTTGCATGCTGGTTGCAGGCTGGGTATAGACGGAGCGTGCAGGAGGGTGCCCGAGTTGCTGTACTGTAGCTTGAGAAAAGAACTTAGGGAAGGGAAAAGACGACTGGGCTGTTCATAACCCTTGCTTCTGTTTGGAGGTGGCAGGTATGAAGAGGCCACCTTTGTCTACAGGCATAGAGAATGAATTTATGACTCGTGAGTTGTTGATCCTTTCACAAAGACTGTTACATAGAAACTCTGGGATGGAGAGCTGTAAGTCCACCTCACTTAACCAGTAAGCTCAGGAGTTGCAGATTACCTTTGAAATCAAGCATACAATCTCTCTGGGATCCAGCTGAGACAGCAGAATGACCCCATGTTTTATTTCTTGTTACCTTGAACAACAGTTCTGAGCTGGCAGTTAACTGGATGCTCAATGAACATGCAAGGAAGCAAACTACCCAAGAATGATAGGTACCATAATCTATTTACATGCCAGGAGATATGGAGCGCCTAATACGCTCAAGGACCTCTCAAGTGTTCAGCATGCAGCTGAGCTTTTGACATCTGATGGCATGGTGGCAGTAATCGCTCGTGACATGAGCTTGCTGTGATTGCTGCGTGGGAAAGCTCTGTCGTGTGCTTCGTCCTCTGAGAAGTGTGAACTATGCTGGTGGCTCTCGTGCTGCTAAACAGGGACCTAGGCACCTCACCGGCAGCTATTATCACAAAATCAATCCAAGTTCTGTGCAGAATGGGAGGCTGTTTTTTAATGGCAGGCAATGGCTGGCAGCCCCAGGGAGCAAGTTGCTTCGGTTGCCTTCCTGTGCGTCTCTGGTAGCTCATCATGAGCCCTGCGTGATGCTGCCTTTATTTATCGAGGCATAATGTCAGCCTCCTAATTCCATCAGGATAATGTCATCTCCCTGGGAGACAGGACACCTGCACTGAGTCATCTGCTGCCCTGTTTGGAAAGGAGAGCTCCTGCTTCCCACCGAGGCAAGCAGCGTCAAATGCAACTGCTCTGCAACCCCTGCCCCATTTCCTTTCCGTTTTCCCACCCTAGATGCTAATATGCCATATATATCTGTATATATATTCTCTGAATATAAAAGGCAGCTCAGTTGCAGAGTCTTTTGTCAGCCTGGGTTACAAGGAGACAGCCCCCTCCTTTGTTCCTTTTTTTTAGTAATGCCTGATCCTTTATTCTCCTGCATGCACACAATGGGCTGCTCGTATCACTTCCACCAAGATACATCAGATGCCTGAATTAGGAGCCTGTCAGGCAGCGGGGAGAGTGGGATGAGCTCAGGAGACAAGTCAGTGGTCTGAATAAAGCGTCTCCTCCAAGTCGTGCCCTGTACTTTGCATCCCTCCCGATGCTGGAGGGAGCGAGGGAAGGCTGCCCGCCTGGCTCCAGCATCCCCACCGGCGCCGGCTGCAGGGATGTTCACTCACCAAGAATGATGACGATGCTGTACTTGATCGCCTTCACCTTCGCCTTGGATATGAAGCCACGGTTGGTGTAGCTGGCAGAGATTTGGCCATCTGGGGACAGAACAGTTCATCTGGTGAAAGTGTCGGGGTGATGCAGAGCTCCATCAGTGCTACGGTTAGGACAGTGGCTCAGCGCTTTCCCAAACTGCAGATGCCTGCAGGTCTTCTCAGGCTGGATGCTCGCAAAGCTGAGCCATCCAAACTCAGAAGTGGCAGGGGAGGCAAGGCAAGTCTTCCTGCAGTGCTGGGGCACTGCGATCTTGGCACTCGGGCACACACTCAGCACAAACAGTGCTTCCGTGCCCAGCAATATCAGTTCATCTATGAAAATAATGAGCTGGCGAGCACAGCTACCAACATGTTACCACAGGGGTAGCCTAAGACCATTTTGATAAAGGAATTGACAGCTCTAATGATGGAAACGTAAGAAATAACCTGGCCAAATGGACTACCTGTTCACTTTAAATGCATCTCAATTAAAAAGATTTTAAAAGCTTCATGCTCCATTCCTTTAACCTTCCACACTTTTTGATGCTTTAGATAATCAATTGAGCATTTTACTCTTCATGTCGGCTCAGTAATGAAATAAGAAACGCTTTTAGACCAGCTTTTCAGAAATGAAGTGTGTATTGAATTGAGAAGGAAATGCTATTCTGTCTCACACCAAGGCTGGTTGATCTCATTTCGTTTGAAGTCGCATTAATGTTTCTGAGAATCAAGTTCTGTATTTGAATAACAGTACTAGTGTGATTGTAATAATATGCTTGAGTTCACAATTAATGTCAATATTCTGTTCGTGTTGCTATGTTAGAATAATGAGGTTCACCATAGTAAATATGCAAGAAGGTCATATTTATCAAAACATCTCTAAACTCCCATAATCCCAATTTAGGACTGGAATTTTGATGAATATCATCAGAAATAACCCTGTGTACGTAATTTTTTGCACCTCTTATATAAACAGTGCATCAAGGCTGTGTGATACGTGAGAAGAAAATATAAATAAGGTTAAGGAGAGCTTTTTGCCAGTGAAACGCCCCTCTAAATGCTTAAAAATAGTCCATTCTTCATATTCCTGGAAATTATTTCATGGCTCACAGACTAGAATACACCATTTGGGTGAGAAGACTGATTTGTTTTCAGGCCTTCTTGATACTGTTTGTGTCATCAAGGCAGGGTATTTAGAAATTAGTCCTGCTCAAGAATAGAGGAGTAGATTTTTGCAAGATTATAATTGACATTATATGTCAGATATGTATCAGGTTATGATGCATGGATACCTGAGGAGGTGCAGCATTACGTCAGGTTGTTTTATTCTCTAAAAGACATCCTACTAAAGGCACATAACAGCAGCAGAGTCATCACAGTTTGATTCATTATCACTCATCATTTAGGTAAAGTACTTGGTTGTCTGCACTGTCCTCTTAAAGTAAAATGCATTATTGTAACGAAACATACTCTTCTTTGCAGCTTCAAGTGTTCAGGAACATGGGACAAGGTTAGTTAACATGGTTCATTTGAGTAACTGTTACAACTCTGTTGTCTGTATTGTCTATTTGTGATTGCAGAACACCTTTTTGCATGAGTAAGGGTAGGAAAGACAGGTGTCAAGTGAGGCTCTTGAACTTGTTAGTGGTCTGTATTCAGATCCTCTAACTCATAAGTTTATGGTCTTAGGATGGAAATTATGTTTTGTTTTATTTATTTATATTTTTAGCATTCAGGAATTTGCTGTCTTGACCAAAATCCGCAGTTGCAAGGGCATGTAAAAGTAGAGCAAATTATCTAAATGCTTACTAAGCATCTGCTGAAATTTCTGTCTCTAGAAATGGGCAAATATTTTAGGCAGAGTGAAGATTTTTATCTTTCAATTCTTTTCTTGCAAATATTTTCAAAAGGGGTTTTAGTGTCAAAAGAAATAGATTAAACATGGTAGAAAAGAACCGTGGAACCAAGGAACAGTTACAGAAAACCTCTCCGCACTGCAGTGAGACCTGGGCCCGATGCAATATCAGGTATTCAGTGGTTCCCAGATTTGGTGGCACAGTCCCCATTGGCTTCACGGCTCGTGACCACATACGTGCTGAGACTCACCAGGGCAGCTAGATATGATGACAGCCTGAGCTTTGCTCTTCATCCAGATCGTTCGAATCACAATTGAGTATATGACACTGCAGTAAGGAAAGAGCCATTGATATTATGAAGCACAGAAAAACTCAGCTAACATCCCAGTCATTCATGCTCTGTGAACACGCGTATTTATCTGTACAGAGCTCATGGAGGTGACAGGACTCCATGTCGACAACAACAATAACAAACTAAATGTGACTCCCCTCTAGTACTTTGCACAAGCAAACCTGAAATGTTTTCACAGTGGGGGTTGTTATCGTTGTCCTGGCTTTACGGTTGTCACATCTGAGGCATGGGGAAATGGAACAACTGAGTCCTGCTCCCAGAGATGTTGTCTGTTGGCAGTTTCTAGCTCGCTGCAGACTAGACTAGGCACCCAATTTCTGCACAGAGCTACAAGTTTGTGCTGGGAGGGACAAGGGGGAAAATAGTCCTGAAATAGGGGATGCAAGCTGAGTGGCCACTGGCATTGGGAAGCCTGCTGTGGGTGGATATGAAGGTCTCTCCTGTAATTGCTTTGTGAATAGGAGTCTAAAGAATAAATCTGTACCTTGACTGAAGGAAATAAGACAGTAGTGGCATCTTCTAATGGATCTTGTAGTGCTCAGGTTTTGGATTAAGGTCCTGGGAGCAAATTTGAGGAGGTCAGAAGTAGCAGGTGGGTGAGAGGAGTTAGATGATACATGGCAGTTTAAGGTGATATATTAAGGCTTTTAGGATTTAGGTGATATATTAAGGTGATAAGATTAAGGCTTTTAATGATGAAAAGTGCTCCAGTCCACAGCAACCTTGAACAGCCATGGCCTTTTCCTGAGTGGTGAGAACTGCAGAATCATATGTATTTACTACAGAATGGGTGAAACTAATTCCTTTCAGCTCAAGATCTTTTTGATCCTACATCCTGGATGTTTTGTGTCCCTTTTGCCCTACAGCTTTGGACAGTGTACAGGTAAAATCACTAAGCAAAACATAATTTTGGATGGTGATTTTCTTTTTAGCTTGGTAAGGAAGAAAAAAAATATTTTGAAACATTTCAGCTAATGCATTGGGCTGCCATACATTCCCAGTCTGAAAAAACAAGGTCGTAGCAGAACATGGGCAGTTTTGCACTACGCTGTGGTGCTTGGCTGGTCATAGGGAAACCTGAGTATTTTTATAAATTTTAGTGGTGAGTCTGTGAAAAAGATGCAGCTCTGGAGGCTAATTTTAGATGTTCTGCAGAGACTAAGAGGTGTCCTATTATCATATGGCATTATTCTTATTGTTATTACGATATTCTTAGGAGGTTTCCAGGAACAGTAATTGAGAGCTGAAGGTTTAATGTGATGTCCAGACTGTGCAGCCAGTCCATAGCATACTTGCCCTGGCAGGATTTTGCAAGCATCTACATGGAAAAAGGTATGACAGTAGGAAATTCACTTGCTGTTTGGCAAGATGACATGTTTTTCCATTAGAATCCTTAATTTTCTGAAGTCCGGGGCAAAGTTAATCCGTGATTTAATCAAAATAGTTTGTTGCTGACATAGTAGATTTGTTTTGGTGTTTTTGCCTCAGTTCTCCCTTCTTTTCTCTTACAGCAGCTGGGATCTGCTTGGAGCCAGCCTTGCTGGGAGGAACCCAGCAGAGGTGGACACTGCTGAGTGTTGGGGAGAGGGGAGTCACTTGTCCCTCTAGGGACACTGCTCAGGGGCTGCTTTGCCAGTTGTAGTTGTGCCCTGATGCCTTCATCTCTCCAGGACTCCAGATCTCATTAGTGCCTAATCTTTTCTCCAGCTGTTGTGGCATGGAGCTAAAAGACTGGAGCTCCTACAAATGCTTCAGTTAAAGTTTAAGGTCATAGAAGGCATTTCTTTATGTATTTCAAAGGCATGATAGAGAGTAAACATTTAGGGAGGAAGAGTTGTATTTTGCTTTCAAGGGAAAAAGCAGTTTTCTCGCTGAATGTGCTTGCAGATGCTTTTCTTTCTTTAAAAGCTGAATAGAGTGGTGAGAGGTGGTTTGTGACATCTCAAAGGGTGGAGGGAAATTCCTGCTGATGGAAAATAAAATGGTAGGTCGACAAAGAATATAAAGGTGGACAGATGAGGTTGGTACTCAGATGGAGAGGAGTGTGTTCAGCAGCTGCATATACCTTTCTATCCCCTCAAAAATCATTTTTTTTCCTTTTAGCATCAAGTTACTTAGTATTTACTGTCAAGAGATAAAAGCATGCCATAGACACGTGTGGCAGGCCTATAATTGTAACAAAGCTCATTTTCTAACACACAGACTTCATAGTATGACTGTGCACCCTTTGTTGGATAGATTCCTGTTGGCATGGGAGATTTATGTATAGTTTGTTACATCCAGATTTTATCAGGTTTATTTGTTTTTGTATGTGACTAGTGCACTGCTCCTCAAGCCCTAGGTATGGATTCTTAGGGGCTATATGAACATGAGTTTAACACCATAGTGTTAAAATAATATCTGTGTTGTTATGGCCTATTATTTGTAGCTGAGGAGAATTTAAAAAAAAAAAAAAAAAAAGTAGGAAAGAGCTCAGGAAATAGTCAAATCTGACTGAAAATTATTCCAAACCTTTTTGTGAAGGAGCTGACAGAGCAGAAAGGACAAGCTCTTGATGTCAAAATACAGGGATTTTTTTCTAGCCTTGAGAAGATCATTATGCATAATGATGGTAGACAAATATAAGAATACACTTCAGACTGTGGATGTAACTCAGCAAATTGAATTCATTGCATCTCCAAAAGCAATTTAGCTTGATCCAGATTCTGAAGGACTGAGATACTTGTTCGTTGTAGCATATTATTAATTAATGACGTTGCTTAATTTGACTGCATCAGCAATTACAGCATCCTTGTCTCTGTAAATAAACAGCTAACTATTGTTTAGTCATGCAAGTCCTACTGTGAGTATTCCTAATCTATCTTTTATAGATATGTGTATATATATGTAGATGTATATAATTTTTAGATAAAGTGCTTGCTGGTTAAGCTAAGTATTGTTAAGAAATATTAATCTGTGCATTCTTTCAACATAGACATTTTTAAAATTCTACATTAACTGATTGCATTATGATAGTATTCCATTCAGCCTCAACATTTAATAGTAAAGTGAGCCTTTACAACAAGCCCAAAAGTATGCTTAAGCTCCCTACTAATTGTGTTTATCATCCAGCATTGATTATGATTCCTTGTATTTTATTTGTATAAAGCCATGCAATTCTGTTATGTTTTACGGTAATATACAGAATCATTTATCCAAGATAAAAATAACACATAAATTTATCTAGACAAATGATTGTAGGCCTGTATAAGAGATGAGTGATTAGATAGCCACGTATGTTCAAGACTGAGGCTTTTATTTGTAAGTGGAAATTGCAGGCAAAAATTAGAGGCACTAGTTAAATCAAGCTCAAAAATACTTTTTATATTTTTATTATTTTATTTGTATTCTTATTTAATGCAAAAGGCTGTCGTTTATTTCATCGCCTCTGAAGTGCATTGTTTTGAAGTCTGTATTTTTTCTTTTACATTTTTATGTTTTTTTTCCCCTTCTAGTTATTTTCCTCTGCTCCGATGCAAACATTCTCTTTAGAAATTTGATTTTTAAATGGTAGATGGAGTAGAACCTGAAGATCTATAGAACTCAGACTGATTCAGCCCATATATAACTTGTGTTCAGTAATGCCCCAGAGGTATTTAGCCTCAGAGATTTGCTTGGCATTTCTCAGTGCAGGTTAGAGCTGATGATACTTGTCCAAGCATGGGAGAATAAATTATTGTGGATTGCATAGTTCATTTTTCTGATCTTTTTGGTAGGATGACAGTGTGAACTGTAGAGTAAGTGGTAGTTTAGTCTAACCAAGAGGGTAGGGAGGGAGGAACAGGCCAAATCTTTAGATGCTTTTAGTGCAATAAGTAAAAAATAAATGATGTAGGTTATTTGGCTCTACACAACACCAAGGAAGGTGGTCAGCTTTTACATGAAAAGAGTTAATACTCTCTCCTCCTTTTCTCAATGATGCAACTACTGGGGTTAAAAATTTAATCAGAGCTTTTTGTTATCTTTTTGTTATTCACATCTTGTTCATTTTTATTATAGTCAGACATAACATTTGCCTCAGAACCATAAACCCATGATAAGTGATGGCTGAGACCCTGGTTGTGAAGACAAGGTAGGAACAAGTCTTCCTACAGTACAAGTCTTTCAACATAGGTTTTTTGTTTGGTTGGTTGTTTTTTATATCCTTTTTGTTAGGTAAATAAATAAAATGAATTAAAAGGAGCAAGAGACAGATTGTGGTTTTCTTATGGTTCACATTTTGGGGAAATGTAGAGGGTTTGCTCACATTGCGCCTGGGGGATTATCTCCTAAGTGGAAGGATTTTTTGCAATAAGCGTGAAGGTTATCAGCTAAGCAATTCATTTCATGTGCCTGCATATTATGAATGACCCAAGTTCCTGTGAATTAGCTGAGTGCTGTGTCAGGAGCACAGGGAATCAACTCTGCTAGGGGTGAGTGGCTGGGTGAGATGCTAGTACCTGGACTGCAGCAAGTGAAAACTGCTCAAAGTGGCATATTTAATGTACCATTAAGTTTGGCACCTTAAAAGTAAATTTTCTCTCTTTTCTGTGCTTTGGATGGGCTTCACCTGAAGAAAAAGTCCCGTCGTCAGTAAACTACTCAGCTTTGGACTGAAGAAGCTTCCTGCAGAACTAATTTAGCACTAATTCTAGCAGATGGTGGCCCAAACTGTGTCATGTACCGGCAGCGGAGTTAAGTGAGGATGCTGTGGGAAGAGGAAAGAAAGTAGCTGAGCAGACAAACCGAATGGGTACAGAAAAGGTCTGACTCTTTTTCGAGGTGCTACCTCCACTACGAAGCTTCACTTCCTCAGTAAGTGTAGTGCATGTTCTGACTACTACTTTGCTCTTATTTGCTGCTTCTTAGATATTGTTCCTTGATTTTCATGTGTAAATTTTTTGACTGCATCCCCATTGCTATGTTACGGAATTTTTAATAGAATCCTCAGGTAAATGCCATTAAGTTCAGCAACCACAAAATACTTTCTTTAATTTACTAAATAACACATTCCCTTTTTCTAGCTACCTTTCAGTAGAATAGCTCATAACCAGATTTTAGCTGGTATCTCTCTCACCCTTTAGGAACAGTGTCCTATTTGTAATCAAATTCACTAAGCATCTGAAAGAATTAAGCTGAACTGCAGCTTTGAGGAGAAATAGAGTTCCTGAATGTCAGCAGCCATTCCAGACCTACTTTAAAAGCAAACTGCCTGCCGGAGCATTTACATGCTGCAACCAGATGTCATGGATTAGTTTTAAACTCCAGGATTTTCCAACATTTTTAAAGGAATAGATGATGTGCCTTGGGGCTAGGCTGAAAAAATGTTTTACAGATGCATCAGCTGGGCGGTTGCAGGCTTCATTTGCATGCTTGGAAATTCAGAACTTGAAAACATGGCTTTGAAAGATTGCTGATTGTTTTAGATTGTATGGCATTTGTTGTTCTGCTGATTCTGTCCTGATTATAATTCTCTTTTTAAATGGTCTTAGTGCTCTCTATTCTGAAGAAAGAAAAAGAAAAACAAAAAAACACCACAGTATCACTGACATCTAGAGATAGATGGGCACAATAATCCTTCCATGATCCCCACTTCCCTGCTCCCAGTGCCCAGCACCACTTAGGGCATGCTAAGAGTTTGGCTTCACCTTGTTGAACTCAAAAACATGTTCAAGTAGATGACGAGCAGTGCTCTGCCCTCTTCTTTAAGTTCCCATCCTGCCATAAACTTCATGTGTGAAAGTCACTTAAGGTTACAGCTAAGGTTACAACCACAAAAATTTTAAGACGTTTTATTCATGTCTCAGCTGTCAGGGCAAATTCATGAAAACTTGCAGTTCCCTGAATTTGCCTTCCCCTCGTGTCACCATCGCCTTCCCGCTCCTGGGGACTTACTGTGAAATAAGTCACGGTGCTGATCTGGTTTGAATATCTCCTTTTGGCAGGGAGGATGGGAGTAATGTAATGTCAGCTTGAAAATCTGAAATATCGGTTGCTTGCCTTTCATTGCCACATAAAAGAGAGTGGCTCATCTGTAGTGACAAGTGTGCAAATCTGCAAGTTTTGGGGATGAAAGAGAGATTTTTATGCATCTGTGGAATGACCAATGAACTGATGGGCTATAGGCCTTTTTCCCTGAAATATTTTAAAATAATGTTTGCATTTGTTAATTGTTAGCCATTTAGGGAAATTCTGAACAAGACTCCTACTCAAATAGTTGCCGGCCTCAAGTTTTTCTAGAGTCATTTGTTGCACGCACTTAAGTTATTTTTGTCTCTTTTCCATGTTTATTCTTTCTACTGGTAAAAGTGGACTATGGGTTTACCCATATTCATCTGTTCCCCAAATTAATTTTTGTTTTATTTAAAACAAGGCTAACTTTAAGATACAGGCTAACCTAAGGAGAGGAATGATCCTGTCTAGGAAAGAGGAGCAATTGGATAATCTGGGAGGAACTTTCTTTGTATTGATATGATGCCCTTTGTTTAAGAATTTCTCATTTTTTAAATTGTTTGTATCTCTGCAATCTGATAGAAAAAAAAAAAGGGAAGTTTTAGCAAATTAATGTGTTATGAATAAAGTAGCAAAGTTGTCTCTTCACTCTAGGCAGCAGCACTGCTCAGTGCTCAGTATCAAAAAGTCAGGTAGCCACCCAAGTTTTATTCCTCCAGCGTTTTTGGTTCTACTAGAAATAAACGAGCTTCCTTCAGAAGCATCAGATTAAACGGTAAGAAACTTCAAGGCAGAAGTCACTTGAAAAGAAATGCACCAGCAGAGCAATGTGGCCACAAAAGCTGCCTGAGGGACCTGCAAACACAGCTCTTCTTTAATAGAATAAATTAAAAGAATAAAAGGAGGATAATAAGGGAAAGGAGAACATCTGGGCTGGGCCAGGACAAGCTGTCTCCGCTGGCAGCCCTGTGAGGTCCTTAGGGATCCTCTACAGCTGTTTTTGACTGCGCTCTTGCGTTGGTAGCTCCTCATGACCAGGTGTTCCTTGCTCCAGACAAAGTGGCTAGTGGTGGTGGCCCCAGACGAAGGCTCTGAGAGCCACAGGTCACGAAGCATGGACTGCCATATTCATTGGCCTCAGGTTAAAGCCGTATGCTGTTCCCAATTGCCTTTGTAATTTGGGGCAAATCGGTGCTAAATATCTGTGGTTCAGGTTTCCCCGTATGGAATGAGGAGGATTTCATTTGTTCACCTTTTAAAATGTGCTTAGCAGCCCCAGGTTATTGGGGATTTCTTCCAGGTCCTGATGAATAAGCACTCTTCCAGTACCACGATTCTTGAGAGCACTTTAAGTTAATTCTAGCTTAACTTGAATAAGTGCTGTTTCTGTTCTCTTATTAAAACTGTGCTTAGTCATAATGCTTTTATACCATATTTATAAAGCTACATTTCAAGCCTGAAGCTATGGAGATAAGCAGACACACTTGGAGATGCTGTTTTTGCTCGGAGAAAATCTGCCTATCCATTAACACTGTGTGGTGAGCACCCAGGGCATCTAGGGCAACCCAAACCAGAGAAGTCTTGGCGTAGGTATGGAAATGGAAAACAGAATGATCCAGGTAAACTAAAGCATTAAATCCAATACCACACTCCACAGCCTTCACCACACGCTCACTGATTGCAGCTTTCTGTACCTGATAATGATGAGGGGGATGAAGTACACCAGGAAGGCGACCACTGTCATGTAGGGGATCCAGTACGAGTCGTCAGGCCAGAGCGCCCAGCACTGCACTTCGCCGTTGGAGAGCTGCCGTTTCCCAAAAATAATCAGAGTCGGTATCGAAAACAGGAAAGAGAGGCTCCAGGCCACTCCAATAAGAACTTTCGCCTGCCTTTCTGTTCAACAGATTCAAACAGACCGTGTTAATGGGCTGCTGGCACCGCTGGCCCCTGTAGCAATGCTGAAACACAGGCAGGGAGGAGGAGGAAGCGAGGAAGAGGAAGGGTTTGCAGCCTGTTGATGCTGAAAAGGCTGCACAAAGAAGCTTCATCTTGGTCATTTTGTTATAGATGCCAAGGAGATATGGCCCCTGAAGGAATATCAGAGCCCAGGTGTCCCCTAGAGAGGTTGTCCCAGGGCACTCTGCAGCGTGGTGGAAGCACATCCAGCTTCTGCCAATGGCCACGTGCCCAAACTATGCCATGAGGGGTTATATGGTCCTAGGTTGATGCTCATGATCTCAGCCCTGTCTTGTTCATTCTTACAGGGGCTGCTGCTGGAGATCCTGCTGGACCTCACAGCAATGAGCAGGAGCTCCAAGGTGCCCAGATAGTTAGCACACCAGGACTACTCCTTTCCCTCCACTTTGCTCCCCTCTGCTGCAAAGCTGGAAAAAATAGAAGACAGACGATGCCTGATAGCAACAGTGGAATTCTCTAAAAATCAGCGAGTTGAAGGAAAATGCCCTAAAAGGCTCTCATGTTCCACAGTTCTGCACCTTCTGACTCAAATCCATGTAACTCTATCAGAAAAAAAAAGAAAAGGAGGAGGGAGGGGTGCAGGGGTGCTGGGCGTGGAGCACCTGTGATCCCCAGCCCAAGTTGTCCCTTCCCAGCTTCCCTGTTTGTCTGCTACAGGGACAGACAGGGACTGGTTTTAATGGCAAGTAACTTTGGCATTTTATGGTCCTATCTGCCTGCAAAGTACCTGGAGATGTGCATGAAAATCTAAAATCTCTTTAAAGTGTGCATTATCAAGACGAACGTTTTTCCTCCTTGAAGCTCAAAGAGCAATATGAAAGTAAATGGGAAAAGCATTCAGAAAGTAATTTTACGCTTTATAAAACATCAGTTGCAAATATTCATTTATCCCACTCATTTCTAAATGCTACTCATGTTCAGTAAAACATAGCCTTGCTAATCTAGGGCTTAAGGGAACTCTGAAAACATCTACCTAAGTGAGAGGATTAGATTAGGTCTATAAATATTGCACAGGCAGAGGAAAACTGTAAAGTTTCTTAAACTGTATCAGAATAAACTTAACAAAAGGAATGTTGGGAGCTAGTACTAAAAATATTTGCTGACAGAAAGGCCCTTCAGACTGTGAACTAGTGATTTAAACCACGCGCACAGGAACTTTAGCGCGGTCCATGTGTAGGGGAAAGGATTGTATTTGGGTAATGTACCTTGTATTTTTGTATGATTTAGCTACATCCTTAATTTGAAAAACATTGGACAGTTTGGGCTTGGCAAGAGGATTATTTTGTGTTTTATAAAACAGCTGAAATGTTCCAATATTCATTTATTCTCACCTTTAAATATTTAAAGATGAATTGATAAATAATAATAATAAATAGAATATTTTTTTCTTAGAAAAGGATATACAGGGAACTGATAACATCTACATAAGAGGATTTTTGTTTTATTTGATTAATGTTAATTTGCTTTCTCAAATTTTTTTTCATTATGTTTTTAATGAGTGCTCTAGTAATCTAACGCAACTAGAAAATCACATGACTGGAGCTAAGTAAAGTACAGATGGATTCTAATAAATAAATGCATCTCTACATACGAATTTCCGCTCAACCACTCTCATGATTTTTCGATGTTTTTTTCCTATTTATAAATACAGATGAGCATTTGCAAATGCAAAACTCTCGATACGCTGCAGTGCTAACCCATGCCCAGCACGCAGCACGGGAGCAGGCATCCCAGCCATGCCTTCTGCTCCCAGCATTGGCCAAGACCCTTTTAATGGACTCTTCCACATCACCATCCCCTTCGCTCCGCTTCCTTCACCTGCGTGTTGCTACAAAGGGTTTCAGCACATCTGCCTGTTGCTGGCAATGCAGGGTTGTAAGTCACCCCTGGGGCTGAGCCGTATCCCCTGCTAGAGCCAATGGCAACGCTGTGCAATCCTTCCGTAAGCCAACTGGCTTTCTAAAAATATTGGATTTGCTGCTCCCTAGCCCCTAGAGAGGCATCCCAGCATCTCATTGCTCCAGCGCAGGGCAGCAGCTCAGAGATGCTCATGGGACAGTTTACCCCTATTTGGGTTTTGTCTTTTGCTCAGGCAGCTCTATTGCCTTTGTTGTTTATTTTGTACAAGGTTTGTGTGTGTGTTTTAAATATTCATAAAAGGTCTTCAGCTCTCTAAATTCTAAGATTTTCTTTTCTCTCTCCAAGCTTTATTTTACTTCTTTTTTCAACAACTCGGTCGATTATTGAGTTAGAACGGATAATTCTTCTGCGCTTTGCACTTTCTGTGGTTATTTGTGTCTCTGGAACATGAGTATCAAATATTTAACACTCAAAGTTAATCTTTGAAGCTTTGCAAAATGCAGCTGCTTCTTTCCAATTGCTTCTTAACATAGCCAGGGGATGGTAATTAAGTCACAGCTTTGTTTTTAGAACAAATTGTTTGACATTTTCAATGCAAAGAGAAGGACTCAGAGCTGATGGCAGCTCCTCACCTCTGACTGGTGGCTTGGTGCTTGCTTTGGGCACTGACCCTGCCGCAGCTGACAGCAGGGCCCTGCGATGCTGCTTTCTGCAGTGGGGCTGCCCAGATCGCTGGGGCTTTGGTGAGAGATAAGGAAAACCAGGTTGGGTTCCCAGTCCTCCTAGGCTCGTTATTGCTTTATTATAAAATGTTCAGCTGACACAAAAGCCAGCCCTCCATCTGTGTGCAGAAAGGAATAACAAGCTGTGTTTTCTTTCACCTTTGCCAAATTTTACCTAGAAACATAAAAAAAGGTATTTATAAAGGTTTTGGAGTCTTCCTGTCCTGAACAAACTCTGCCTGCCTGCTTGGAAATACTCAGCTAAGCCTTGTGCATTTTACTTGAAGTTTTCAGAGCTTAACATCTGCCAAAGTTGCACTGCTCCCTGAGGCTGTGATTGATTCATAGTTTATTTAAGGCTAAAAAGGACTGTTAACGCAATGCCCTTAATAGAGTGGGCTGTCAAATGTCATCATTACCCCAAAACAAGAATGATATTTGTGTCTGTTTATATTCCATCTTCCAAGTGCTGTGGTCCCTGTAACTGCATCCCTCCTTCCCCACATGCGATTTCTGTTTCTTTACTCAAGGCAAGATATTAAACTTTAAACTTTTAAGATCTGTGAAAAAGAAATTATACTCTTTAAATGTATTGCTAAGCACTTAAGATATTTGAGTGCTATAAAAATAACAACCTGTAGGAGAATTTTAAGAAACAATAAATAACCCAAACCTGCTTTGTATAGTTTTTGCAGTTCTCTGATCAAACTGTCGTATTAATTCTCAGTACTTCACTCTCTATCTTATTTATTTTTAGTGTCAGTACACAGATAACATAGGTAAGAAATTCCTGCTGTAATTCCTAGAGTCAGTATAGCTGTGCAAGAGAGAGCTTTTCCCCATAACAGTTTTCTCAAAAAGCCAGAAGATAATGAAAGCCTCTATACTTCTTTAAATGTCATTTCATTCTTGCTAACACAATGCTTATAGAACTGCTGAGGGCTAAGTGCAGCTTAATAAATCTTGAAACCTCAACTCTATTGCCTTTTGGGAAACTAATGGAGTCCAAATATTGCTACAGCAGGAATCAATAATTCATGGCAACAAGGTTAATGATTTTGAAACTTTTCTGAGCAAATTGGAACTAGCCAATAACATCCATAACAGCAGCAAGGCACAGAAATTCTCCTACCTCCTTGCAAGAACTTCATTGGATAAACTATGGCATGGTAGCGGTCTATGCTTAGTGATACGAGGACGTAAGTTGAAGCGTAGAGAAGCACCACCTAGGGCAGAAGATTGCAAGAGAATTGAGCAGTTGAGTTTATAGCAGTTGAGATACATTTGCATAAAATTACATTAGCTATAATACTGCTCTGTAGTTAGTATTGGAAAACTTTTTTTTTTTTGGAAAGAAAATGAAAAAGAAAATAGAATTTTTCTTTTCACCCAAATCTTTTTGCTTTGCCTAGTCTGCAAAGCATAAAGGATCTTATATGGTTTAATTAAAACTTTAATTTAATTAAACTTTAATTTAAACTTTAAAGGATTATTTCTCGCATATAGCTTTTCTGTTGTTTGAAGACTCTCTATACAGCATTTTAGTGGGAGTTTCCTGCTATCACCTGAGCTTTGCCATAGGGAAAGGCAAGTGGCTGCTGTACCTGTAAGTAGCGGACAACTCTGCAGACGAGATCAGGGGCCATGAAATCTCCAGTGTAGCGCCAAATGATGTCCGTCATTATGTTTATGAGTCCTGTGAATGAATCTGCAATGGAAAGCCACTGAAAGCATGTTAACAGCAACAAATGTACGGCAGCATTTAGGTTTATGGCAGCAGGTAGTACCTTTAGGAAGAGCCAGCTCCTGCAGTCCTGATGGCAGCCCCTCTGCGGTGGGTCAGTGCAGGATGCAGGAAAGGAGGGAAAAACCTCAGAAAACACTTGCGTTTAGGGTTTTTGTTATCTCGTTCTTGTATTTTGAAACAAATCCCTTCAGACAGTAACTGTGAGATTATGCTTTGCACCTACGTGTTTGCAGTTGTGTTCTGTGTTGTCAGCGGAGAGCTTGTCACTGCCCTCTGGTCTGGGACATCTCAGACAAGTGCAATGTCTACCTCAGCCTTTTGCTGAGGTGGCTACGGGAGCACTCTGCTGTATATAGTTGTCGCTGTGCTCTAAGTCCTGATCTGTATTGACATCTGTCTAAAATTGGGATGCCTAAAAATGATACCCAAAATTAACTGAGATCAATTCCATCTTAAAGAACTTTTCTTTTTCTCTTTTTTGAGTGGAAAATCCTACTTGACACCATGTGCTGGGGCTCTGCTGGGCTCTGTGCAGGGGAGGGAGAGGCCCAAAGCGTCCTGGTTGCTGAAATCTATCTGAGTTCTAGCTCAGCTGGGCACAGCCGCCAGGTGATGTTGTGCCCAGTTTCGGTCAAATCGCTGTGTTGTGTCTACTTAACTTATGATTTTGTTGTTGTCACTCCTGCTGACCATATGTTGCTCTTGTTACTTGATGTCTTTTTATTTTTTGCTTATTGCTGTAAATCTGATCTCTCTTACTTATCTGACTGTTGGATAAATAGGAAACATCATAAGGGCCTCAATCTTAATGTTCAGTCATGCTTTTATTTCTGGCACGTGCCTAGGCCTGGACTAGCCCATTTGTCATTGACATACTGTGAGTACAAGATATTTCCCCCCCAGACTTTCCCTGATGTATGGATAATATATAACGTTGAAGAAGATATAGGTTAGGTCTAAATGTGTCAGCTTCCTCTCAACTGTGTCCCATACTGAGCCATCTAATGGCTGATTTCTCTTTTTTTTTTTTTTTTTTATTATAAAAAGAAATATGTCTCCTGAAAAAAATTCTGGGGTGAAGTACAGATGACACCAAAGTTGGTGGGAAATTTATCTGGATTTTATTCGTGAACATAATTATTTTATAGCCAACCCCACGCTGTCAGCTTAAAGTTAACCTGCTTGTGCCTGCATTTATACTGAAGTCAACATACACCAACATAAATTTACCTCAGGCCATTTTTCTTCTTCTGAGAAAATCTGAAGAGATATACTTCTGAACAAATGTGCATTTGTAGCTTTTCAAGTCTTATATTGGAATTACAAAAGCTATTGTGCACATGGGCAATAATAAGTTATTTTATTTAAAACAAAAATAATAAAGACGTTATCTCCCAGTAGGATGGGATAAATCTTTTAAGTGCTATAAAATAGAAAATTAGAAAATACGTATCCGTCTACTGTTCTCCACTTCAAGTAACACAGCATGTTTCTCTCCTTGTACAGCTTACCAGAATGGAAAACAGCAGGTTGGAAAAACATGATTTCATACAATTTGTCAAGACAAAAGTAAATGTTTTTTGCTTAAATTAGATATAACTTCAATCCATATTAAAATAATAAAAAAGTATAATGTTTTGTTTTGGGACCAACATTTTACATACTTTAAAACTGTCTAAAAAGTTTACTATGATAAGGTTGTCTAATCCTCAAATCAGTACTTTACCATTTGAAAATATATGCTCCTGGAGGCAAAACCTTTCAACAGTTTCAAAACATACTTTTTTTCAAGCAATAGATTATTTGAACCAATGTTTTCCTGGAAAAAAAAAAAAAAAAAAAAAAAGACTGTTTTGACAAACTGAGTTTCTTACAATCCTTTCGCATTTAAAGCTGCAGAAGTTCCAGGTACTTCTGTCAGGAACTAGTGATCTGAGTCTAGTGCTTTAGGAGAAGAAAATCTATTTTGGAGTGTTGGAAACCAGGATTTTTGTGTGTGTAGCTATTCATGACTTCCTCATGACTTCCTCTTTCCTCTCCCAGTGTCTCTCAGCACCTTTTTCTGTTTCTTCTCTGTTCCTCTGCCACAAGTGGGAGACTGAGCAAGAGAGGAGCTCCAGGAATCCCTTGCAACCAGGATTTTTATGTGCTCTACTCCCACAGCTGCTAAAGGCAGCATAAAATCATATACCTTGAAACTATATGTTAAGTGTTGCTCATTGAAAAGAATAACAGAGGTAAGAAAACCACTGTTTCTCTAATGAGCGTAGTGGTTTTAAGACTTTCTGGAAGAGACTGTAAGGACCTATAAGAAGTTCTTTGAAGAAACCACAGGGTTTGAATGTTTCAAAGTGAAATGTATACTCTGGCTGTGGCTGAAACGCAGCTCCTTCCCTCTCCTAACTCCTGAATTATTGATTCATATTCTCTCTCTCTAGTAATGAAATATGCACTAGTTCAAAGTAACATGCTCCTGACGTAGGTCTGCATCAGCTTTCCAATTTGCACTGGGGGTGCAATGCAGCCAGAGTCCTCATGGCCCCCACTTCTCTCATGGCACAGAGCAAGAGAAAATTGGATCCATTCTGATCAGGCTCAGGTTGAAGCTGTTCTCCATGGGACCACATCATGCACCGTGGATGCTACCTGGTGCTCAGGCTGAGGGGCCGCTCTAGAGCATAGCTGAAGTAATATCCCCCTCGAAGGTACACTATGTGGATATCATGTCTATCTTCTTCCTTTGCAGATCTGTTTCACTTGCACTGCATTGCCTGCCCATATACCGATAGCCTGAAGTACTTTGGGAGCTTTAAAGACAAGAAGAAAGTATTTTTCCCTTTAGAGGGGAAGGTGGTTCAAAGGGTTTGCCTCTTTGAGCAAGGTTTTCAGGGGACTGCAGAGGCTTTTAGGCAATGTTCAAACTTCACAGCTCCTTTGTGCTGCAAGCGTAGGCTGCTCTTACCCAGCAGTATATTTTAAGAGCTCTTTGTGCTGAGTTTTTGAATCACTGCAAAGTGCCCAGCATGTGTTCCTCAGAGTGCATGTCCCAACCACAGCATGCTCATGTGTGCTACACCACATGCACACAGCTGTGTGCATGCACCAGATTAGTCAGATTTCTTAATACCTTCTAATTAGAAAAGCACTCTCCTATGCCATGTCCTCATGCCCTCTGCTAGTTTCAGAAAGCTCTCTTGTCTCTTTTTGATCCCACCAACCACAGGACCTTTCCTTTTCTTTTTCCCCCTTGGTAGCCAGAAATACTACTGATCTCTGTGGTTGCTTCTTCCGGGATCTGCTCACTCCACCTGGCTGCTATCTCTTCCACTGCCAGCTCTGCAGGTACTTCAGGGACCTGCTCCACTCACTTCATGGTGCAACTGCACTGCAAGCTGCTCCTGAGGCTGCTGCTTCTCTTATGTCTTCAAAGACCCAGATTCACTCTGTGTGTCCCAGACACACAACTCACATTTGTCACACAGGTTACTTTACATTGGGCTACTGGGGAAACTAGTACACTTTGTACAGGAGGTCTGACAGTAGGCAAGCAAATACACTCAACCGGTAGATTATGAGAAACTAAGGATATTTGCTTCTGCTCCCATCTATACAGACTTCTCAGCAGCTGTTTCTGGGCATATTTTCTTCTATCCATCTATGTTATTCAGTCTCTAGTCAGCTAGTTACTTAGCACTTTATTAAGTGCGCACCTGAGCTCCATTGGTTGGCAGCAACACATTCTCTTCATGCTATACGTGTCCCACCTGGCATGTGTCTGTTTTTTGCTTTCTCCAGCCCTCCACTACCCCTGGGTCGCTAGTCAAGAGTTTTTAAATTATTTGGGTGATTTGGGCACTGAATGTGCTTCTTGTTACTTTATTACCTAATTGCTAATCATAGCTGTAATACTTCAGACTTTATATTTTTCATACCTTCCTACAAGACCTTTTTCACCCAAAGGCCAGCTACACTAGAGTCATAAATTTGAAACCCTGATCACAAATACCTACAGAGCTCTAGTGGGTGGTAGATGAAGCCAAGATGATAACCACATTATCAGCTTGCATACAGTTACAGTTCACAATGTCTTGAAATCCTTGTTCTTTACGTTATTTCATTTGCTTATATAGAGGTCAGCGTATAGAAGTCAGAAGGTTTCGGTTATATGACCTTGGCAGATCACATATTCAGTGTTGACAGCTGAAAATCCTCTATTTCTGTACATGATGCTAGATTATATTATCATCATCTTGAGTGATAAAAGTATCAGAAGCCAATCTAGACAATACATCTCTTTTAATCTCAATGTCCTCATTGCTGCTAATGTCCTCATTGTTCCTTACAGAATTGGCTGCTTGCATATTATTATTCTTTCAGCAATGAATGTTCCTAGGTCAAATGAAATCCACATCTTTGTTGAAAGCAGTGTTAATCAGCCTTCACTCATAGCTGTGTGCCATCCTTTCATCACCAGTTCTTTCTTAATACTTTTGTTTTTTTCCAAGAAGAGGATGTTTACTGTAAGCTCTGTTCCTGGATTGCTAGGCAACTGTATGATTATAATTTCATTTAATTTCTCTGAAAAGCAGGACAAAATATCACTTAGTGACTTATCTTTTGATGAAAAATAAAAATAAAAATACCAGCAAAGGACGTTTAACATCATCGAATGCATATTCACAAAATCATGCAGACAAAATGTTTACTTTTTAAAGGGGACAATAAAAATGACACTGATGTGATGGTGAAGGTAACATCTTGCTGTCGACAGAATGCAGAGTTTTAAAAAATGTATTAAATGTTGCACAAGAAAAACAGAAGCAGTGGGGAGGAAAGAGAGTGGGGTGCAGAGAGAGGGAAAAATTGGCTGTCAAGGACTACATGAAGCAGAGAAATCCATGAAACTATCTCAGAGGAACAGAGTTTCCCAAGTTTCAGCTTTGACCTCCCCATTGTCAATG